ATACATTAATGCAGGCCTTATTGCTGTTCGATAAAATTTACATTTCAGTCTAGTCGGCATACCTCAATCGCATAGAAATCTTGATGCACTCTTCCATTTCATCCACCCAGCTCTGATTCTATGACATACATCTCCATCTAATTCACCATCCTTCTGAATTATGAAGCCCAAATAACGAAACATATCACACACCAGTATCTTCTTACCATAAAGAGTAATCCCACTGTTGCTACTACTTGTACCTCCACCAAACTTGCACTCCATATACTCAGTCTTGCTTCGGCTCAATCTGAAACCCTTGGTCTCCACTGTTTGTCGCCATATTTCCAACTTCGCTTTAACATCGGATTGCGTCTCATCAATCAATACAATATCGTCGGCAAACATCATGCATCACGGTATATCTTCTTGAATTGACTTCCTAAGTTCATCCATGACTATAACAAACAAGAAAGGACTCAGAGCAGATCCTTGGTGCACCCCGATAGTAATAGGGAACTCTGCGGTCCTCTCTACACTAGTGCGGACACTTGTAGTTAAACATCATACATATTCATGAAGACCATGATGATACTATATCATACGGATGCAGTATCTCTTGTCATTTTTTTCTAAACCTTCACATTTATCGTATATCACTTTGTGATGGACATTTAACATCAAACCCCAACTATTGGAATAGCTTTGCTCTTCCATGTTCATCCATACCATTAAAAGATGTCACGTATGTGCGAAACATTCCATTTAATCTTGTATAGTTTAATTCTATTTCTATTAGCAAGATTACTCGGTCTCTCAATTGTTCTATAACCTTTTTATCAAAGGCAGGACCATTGTATGGGGAAAGTGATTGGTGTCGGGCATGAATATCATGGTCGATTATTTTTATTATCTGTTGCTTCTGAATTGGCTAAGCATCAACGATTAAAATACATAACCGCTTAGGTCATCTAGGCCTCTCAAAACTCCGAAGAATGATTCCATGTAAATCTCGTCTTCCTTCCTTATATTATGAATTGTGTCATCTCGAAAAGCAACCTTGTAATCATATCCATGAAGAGTGAATAATAGAGCTACATCCCCTTTTTAATTGAGTTCATACGAATGTTTGGGGTCCGTATTGTTTCAAATCTACTATAGGTATTAGTTGTTTTGTTATCTTTAAAGATGGCTATTCTCGATACACATGATTATTTTTAACGAAAGAACCATTTGAATATTTCAAACATTCAATTTTTTGTGCTGAAATTCAGACTCAGTTTGTTGTTCTATCAAAATCTTACGTAGTGATAATGTCCAAGAATTCCTTTCAACACCCTATTATCAATCTATGACTTCGTGAGGAATACTCCTCTAGCCTTCTTGTGTTTACACACCCCAATGAAATGGCATTTCTGAGCAAAAGAATTGTCATGTAGTTGATAGCGCTCTCACTCTCTTATTACATTCTCATACACCATCTTAGTATTGAGCTGATGGCTAATTCCATTCTCACACTTGAAAAGTAAGTTTTGAAATATATAACATGTTTATAAATGAAGTTATGTGTCAATTAACTAACTTTTTTAATTTACTAGCTATAGACGTATGCTTTTTTGCATGATACAAGCATACAAATTATGTGTTTGTGTCATACATATATTTTTTATTACTTTTACCAACGATCTTGTGTCGGGCCTTGACTTTTTGAATTGTAGTTCGAGACTGACCATATATAGTCAGAATGAGGTCAGGGACCGGGTCTGGCCTGTTACTCTGTCAGGCTTACTGATTTGGGTCCTTAGACAGACACTAGATAGGGCCCAATAGAACCATAATGTTTAAGGTTTTCTTAAACCACATCTATAAAGTTTTAACTACTGTGTAGTACAGTTAGGTTCGATTTTGGTCCGGTTGGGATTTGCCACCAATATATACCACATGCCTCATTTGAATACACATTGATATAAACTATACATTGGTATAAACTATACATAGCTGTCTATGCAATCGAAGCATGCCGGGTGAATCATCCGTCACACATGAAGATTATAGCTGTGTCTATGCAATCTATGTTTGGATCAATTTTGTTCTGTACATCTTATAATATTATATCAAGTTCTGTTTTATTTCTGAAGGATCTGCTCAGCTAGAGTTAAGGAATATGAAGACAAACATGAAGTATTGTTAACATTGTTGGTTTAGAAAAACCCATGAAAATTACATTTTTATACAATGCATACAAATTGTGAAAGTTTCATTTGAGCTCTAATGTAAATTTATGGTGACTTGTACTTTTCTTATTAGCACAAATAAAAACGTAATAGCACTAATTTTCTACTACAGAAACAAAGTGTTCTTCAATGGCACGTGCGTCAGACTTAATTCACCAAAAGGATATCGTAATCAACAATGACATACAGCAAGAAGCTTACAGCAATGGTTTTGCTCAGCCTGCACCGAGAACTTCTCAACCGGTAAGTTTTACTGCTGGTGGTGCTAGTAGTCCTCTTCCTGGTATTTCACAAGCAACTGAGAATGGGGTTCAAAAACCAAAAAACTAAAAGTTAGACTGCTGTATAGAGATTTGCCCAACACATGTGCATCATGTAATATTAGGTGATTGTTTGCTTCTGGGTTTTTTTATGCGGCTGTGTCGTGTTCATTTGGCGCACCATCCATAAGAGCTAACATATTCATAGGATTTTTAGCATTGTTCAAGGATAGTAAAAAAGTTTTTGTCCACTAGCCATTTCACATTTGTAGGGATGTGATATTTGTATTTAAGGCAGTTCAAGCCGGCAAGCCAGCTCTTGTTAGAATGGACGATTCTGGAAGTACCTCATTTAGGCTCATGTAATCATGGATGTTTCAGTTAATAGTATCTTCCTTCTTTTTGAGTAAAGACTTCAAGTATCATACTACTTTAAGGGTCAGATCGAGTGAGGCAGTGATGAAGATGTGTGTACGTCTCGAGTATCATATATTGATAACTAAAAAACATGGCTCGACAAAAAGAATATGCTCTGCCATTTAATGCTAGACCCGACACAATGTCCAAGAAAATGATTTTTTTTATGTTCACGAATAATGAAGTCAATACATTTGTGGAGTGCTTGCAGGTCGTACATCCTTTGGAAAATTATTCATTGAACATAGTCAGCACCGTAGCAATGAAGATAAGGTTTTGTGGTTTCCACATATTAAGGCTACGTTTGCTTTGCTTATGCTTTTCAAAAGTGATTTGTGTAAGAGATTATTTGAGAAGTGATTTTTAATAAAAGTATGTAGTGTTTGAAAACAAAAGTGATTTTAGTTGAAATGTAAAAGTTGAAGTGTTTGGTAAAAAGTGATATTTAAGGTAATATATTGTTAAAAGACAAAAACAGCCTAGTTGAAGAAAATCTTTCTTCAACTCCACACGTTGGAAATGTAATTGGGAATTTCCTCTCACGCGAGTTCCGGCTAGGGATGGACTCGGGCCGGGTGGCCCGACCCGGAACCGGCCCGGGACCGGTACTGTTCCGGCCCGGCCCGACCCGGTGGCCCGGTCAGTGACCGGTCCGGGTAAGCCCGGCCCGTGGGTTTTCCGGTCCGGGCTCGGGTCACCCAAAACAAGGCCCGACCCGGCCGGGCCATTTTTTTTTTCAATTTTTTTTAACTTTTCGGGTTGGGCTGGGTAGTTTGGGCCATTTGGGGTGGTTTGGGGGGTTGGGGGTGGGAGGGGGGTTAATTAGGAAGAGGAAAACAAAAAAAAAATATAATGGGCCTGGCCCGACCCGGCTAGGAGTGGACTCGGGCCGGGCCAACCGGCCCGCTACTGTGCAGGCCCGGACCGGCCCGGTTTGTCGGTTAGGTCACGGTTTGGGCCACCCGGCCCGGTCATGTAGCGGTTCGGGCCCGGGCTGATATTTTGGTGAACCGGCCCGGGCCTCAACGGTCACAAAAAAAAAAATTAAAAATTTGAAGGCTCTACTAGCCGTTGGGAGACCTCCCAAACGGCTCTATAGCCGTTGGGAGCATAGGAGGGGGGGTCTGGGGGGTTAGGGGGGGTGGGGGTGGGGGTGGGGTATACAAAAAAAAACCTATTTATACTCCTATTTTCTATACCTTTTTTACACCTCTTCTTCTACAATTCTTCCTACTCTCTAAAATCTAAATTCTCTATTCTCTTAATCTTTCATATTCAATCATCTTCATTCTTCATCTTCTCCAAATTCTTTCTACATATATATAATTTATTTAAATATTATATCTACTTATATATTATAATATTAATTATCTACTTATAAATATATACTTATACACATTCATATTATAATTCTTTACGCATTATATTATACACTATATATTGTTATACATTATATTATATATTACTTATAATATATTTACACATTATATATTTATATATACTATATATAGTTATACATTATATTATATATTACTTATAATATATTTACACATTATATATTTATATATACTATATATAGTTATACATTTGATTTATATATACACTTCTCGTTTATCTATTTAATTACTTAATTGTTTCATTTGTCATATTAATATTAGTTAAAGTAGTTAAAGTTAATTGTTTCATTTGTCATATTAATATTAGTTAAACTACTTAATTGTTACATTTCTCATATTAGTTAATTGCTACATTTGTACATTTCTCATATTAGTTAATTAGTTAATTGCTACATTTTTACATTTCTCATATTAGTTAATTAGTTAATTGCTGCAATTTTACATTTCTCATATTAGTTAATTGCTACATATCTCATTAAAGTAAAAAAAACTAGTTAATTTTTACATTTCTCATATTAGTTAATTAGTTAATTGCTACAATTTTACATTTCTCATATTAGTTAATTGCTACATATCTCATTAAAGTAAAAAAAACTAGTTAATTTTTACATTTCTCATATTAGTTAATTGCTACATATCTCATTAAAATAACAAAACTAGTTAATTTTTACATTTCTCATATTAGTTAATTGCTAATATTTGTTCAATTTTAAAGATGGAGCGTGGTAGACATTCTGTAGATGTGAGTAATCTCCAACGCAACCGCAAGAGGGAGATTGCATCGACTCGATCTACTTCACGCAAAGGCAAAGGTAAAGCGCGGGCCGAGTCTTCTTTTCAAAGTCGAGATGATTTTGAAACGGACTACCAACGGCGAGATGGTATGATGATGTCCGACGAGGAACTACAACACCTATTGTCCCAAAATGATCCACGTTTTGCACAAGAACAACAATTCCCGACAACCATCGATGAAGAGGAGCTCGAGGATGACAATGGGGAGGAGGACGCGGGGGGCGACGGGACTCCGGATGATGAGCAAGAGGACGAGGGCCCTTCAACGACTACAACCCAAATTTGTAAGAAATCTAAATCTGCTATTATTGAAAACAATTATACAAAAAGGAAAGACGAAAAAACCGAAAAATGGTACGCAAGTTGCAATCATTGCAAGAAAGAGTTTAGCTTGGGAATTTCTGGCGGATACGGGAGTGTCAAAACACATCTTCAGTCCGCCCACTTTATGGAGTATGCGAAAATAGACAAAGGAAAGGGGAAGCAAACACAAATATCAAGGTTTTCAAATTCTCAACCCTTTGGTAATTTTTCCTATGATGATAAAAAACATTTGACTGATATGTCTCATTTAATTGTTGAAGAAAATTTACCCTTTATTTTTTCTGAAAGTCTTGCTTTAAGAGATTATGCTCAAGGTACTTTAAATCCTCAATTTAGAAATTATAGTCGCAAAACGATTAAAAAAGAAGTTATAAGGCAATATAACTTGGAAAAAGAAAAATTACAAATATTTTTCGCAAACTTTGATGGACGTGTTAGTATTTGTAGCGATATATGGGAGGATACTTATCATCATTTATATTATTTGGGTCTAACTGCACATTATATTGATGATGATTGGAATATGCATAAACGTGTTCTTGCTTTTCGTGAATTCAATGATCGTCACACTGCTGATAATATTTATATTCTCATTGAACGTATTTTAATTGAGTATAATTTGATTGATAAGGTGTTTGCTGTAGGTTTTGATAATGCTAGTAATAATACTGCTGCTATACCTAGATTACGTGAATTGTGTGGTGCTTCTACATTGATGGGTAGATTTTTTTCATCAACGTTGTGCATGTCATATTCTAAATTTGTGTGTACAAGATGGCTTAGCGGCATTAGGAAATGCTTTGGAGGTAGTGAAGGGGGGAATTAAATTGATTTGGGCTAACACTCCACTAAAAATGCAATGGCGGCAATATTTGAAGGATAGACGTGTGAATTATTGTGCTTTTCCTAAAGATTTGTCTATTCGTTGGAATAGTACTTATAATTTAATTCAAGTACTTGTTAGATATAAAGATCATTTTCCAGCTTTTTTAAGACAAACTTGTAACTATATTATAAACCCGGCTGACATCGACACTTGTGAAAAAATTGTTAATGTTTTGGCATATTTTAATAACGCAACTCTAACTTTTAGTCATGTTTATAAACCTACCGCAAACGAATTTTTTGTTGAAGTTGTTAATCTCGCCGGCGCTTTTTGTGAATTTTCCGACGCCGCTTACGTTAGTTATTTTTGTGATTTCATGAAACAAAAGTTTTTAAAATATTATTCACATATTCCGCATATATATGGTATTGCATTTGTTCTTGATCCTCGTTATAAACTTCCTTACTTGGCAAATTGTATAGATTACTATTATGCTTCTTTTTTTCCAACTCAAGAGTTCGATGATAATCCCATCGACTCTAAATAAGAATTCAACGAGGTTAGTAATTTATTTCATCAATTGTATAATGAATTTCATGCACAATATGGTAATGCACCCCCTCCCATGCAACGAACATCTTCTTCATCTAAAGGAAAATCACTTTTAAAATCCGCTTTTGGTTCTCTTTTGAAAAAAAGCAGAGCAACTCCCGCTACTGAACAAAGCTCAGGTAACGAGCTTTCTTTGTATCTAACTTTGAATGTTGATTATGAAGTTGGTGATGACTTTGACGTTCTTAAGTGGTGGAAGGAAAATGAAAGAACATTCCCGATTTTATCAAAGATGGCTAAGCAAGTACTAGCAATGCCAATATCAACCGTTGCCGTGGAACAAGAATTTAGTGCGGCCGGCAACGTCCTAACCGATTATAGAACGAGGTTGAGCCCGAGCTCTCTTGAGACACTAGTTTGCTTTCACGATTGGTTGAAGGCCCAACGAAGAACTCAAGAAATTACCATCACTCCCTCCCGCCACTTTATGGAAGAAACAACCGAAGGCGGAGAGTCCGATTGATTTTTTATTACAAAATGTATTACATTTTTTAAATTCATCCTAATTCTCAATTGTACTTCTTATTTGAAATAAATATACTTCAATTCGAATATAATATATTGTAATTGTAATAAGATTTATTCTAATTATATAATAATTAAAAAAAATTAAATAGGCCCGGCCCGGCCCGCCGGGCGGCCCGGCCCGTGAACCTGGCGGGTGACCCGAACCGAACCGGACCCGGGGTTATCCGGGCCGGTTCCGGGCCTGCCTTCCTAGAACCGAGGCCCGGCCGGGCCCAGGCCCGAACCGGGCCCGAACCGGCCCGAGTCCACTCCTAGGCCCGGCCCGGACCCGGACCGGACCCGGTGGTTACCCGGGCCGGTCCCGGGTCCACCATTTCTGACCCGCCGGCCCGTCCGGGCCTAGGCCCGACCCGGACCCGGCCCGGACCCGAGTCCAACCCTAGTTCCGGCTACTTCCCTTCTGCGTTCCCTTGTTCCGGCTAACTCCAACGGATTGGCTTGAAGCAGCTGCCTTCTCCCGCATCACTCATCCTAACACCAGTCATCGGTTGACAATACTCCCCATTCTGAGTTCCTTTGTGCAAATATTAAAGCAACTAATTTGCTGTTTTGCATATTTCTCTCTTTTCTGCACAAATCTCAACCACACAATTTTTAATATTCTTATTTATCACTTTCTTTGTACTTGTTAAAGTTCACCGGGACGGAGGTAAAGTAGGTAGTACCGAGTACTACCTCCGTCCCTTAAAATTTTGCCAAAGTTGACTGGCACGGAGAATAATAAAGTAAAAACTGTGTGGTTGAGGTTTGTGCAGAGGAGAGAGAAATAACAGAAACCACAAAAAAAATTAATTACAAGGGAAAATGTCAAAGTTTTTTGGGACGTTCAAAAAAGGAAAGATAGATAAAGTTTAAGGGACGGAGGGATATATCTTTTCATATAAATTGATGATGACATGCACAAACCCATTTTGACTTTTCTTTTCGTTTTGTGTCGTTTTTTCTCTCACCTCACACCCTCATGTAGTCCTGCACGTTCTTTTCTCCCCCCTTCTCAGCCCAGTGTTCCTGCGCCTTCATCTTGTTTTTTTCCTTCCTGTCCTTCTCCAGTTTGTTTTTTCCGTTTTCTTACTTTTGCAGTGGCAGCTCCTCAGTTCGAGCTTTGGTAAGCACTGTAAGGGAGTTTTAGGATTCGAGCTTGGGTTGGGCCCCATTGTCATGAGCAAGAAATGATTTGAATTTAATGTTTTTGTTTCTAGTCGCCGGAACTTGGATGGTGCTTAGCCGGAGAAGACCACCGAACTACAGAGTAATGAAGTCTCTGATTTCACTGGACTTTGCTCATGAGGCTGTGAGGGTATATTGCCAGGGCTCGTCAAGTGCATCTGATCGAATGGGATAAAGAAAAGAAATTATGAAAATGGTGGAGAAGAACTCAAAAATCCATGGGTATGTTCTTTCTCTCCCTTTTATTTTTTATATTTTTATGTTTTTAGCGATTTAGTGAGTATCGGGTCAACTAGGATCAATATGAGAAGACAATATATGAAATTCATACCTCCTACTCCCTCCGTCCCCGAAAATACTTCCAACTTTCCCTTTTTGTCCGTCCCAAAAAGAACTTCTTTTTCCTTTTTTGGCAAAGAATTTGTAGTTCACGGCATTTCTCTTACCTCTGCACAACTCTCCACCACACAATTCCAACTTTCTTAATCCGTGTGCCACTTTATTTTGGAAGTAAATTATGGGACGGAGGTAGTATTATTTATAAGAAATTGTTCTAAATGAGACTAAAACATGCTTAAAACTCCAAAACAGGACTTGCAGTTTTAAATTGCCTAAATGGGACTCTAGATTACTTTTTTACCCCTGAATGCCCCTGATCCCTAAATCATCTTTTCCCCAATCCCTCTGCATCGATCACACCTCTGCTTCGATCGCACCTGCGATTGCAATGAAGCAGTTGCCTGCGGTTACATCGATTGCGGCTCAGCTGCCATGGACGCAGCCCAACCACCATCATCGCAGCTGTAATTTCTTTCCCTGCTGCCATGGACGCAACTCAACCGCCATCATTGCAGCTATAATATCTTCCTCAGGTATTCTTCCTCCTCCGCATCTTCTTCTTTTTCTTCTTCTCCTCCTGCTCCTTCTCCTTCTTCCCCTCTGTTTTGTTCTTCTTTTAAATTTCAAATTATTTTAGACACTGTAATCCGAAAATGTCATCTTTACTCGAAAATGACATATTTTAATAACTGTAAATGTCATCTTTCTATTCCAAAATGCCAACATTATTTTATCATCAGACTACACAAGATTTCATTTTTCAAAAATTGACATGTTTTAAGAATGCCACTTAATATGCATAATAACAAAATAATGACAATTTTGTATAGAAACGTGACATTCTCAATATGGCATTTTCAAATATTGTAATGACATAAAAGTGTCATTTTGTAAAAATACGCAATAATTATGACATTCTCTTATTCAAAAGTGTCATTTTCTGTAATTGATAACAAAAAATTCAAGTTCAGGTATATCTTCATTTGAAACTTTCAAAAATCAAAATTTTATTTAAAATCTGATTGATAAAAAACTAAAAAAAAACAGAGAACTAGGAAGAAGAAGAGATTACCTACCTAATAAGTTTTTAAGCTATGGTCCTATTTTGTGGTTTTGCTGCAGGAGGAGGTCATGCACTAATGATTGATGGTGGTTGGTGTCTCGCCGGAGGGTGGCAGACGGACGTTGTGGTCTGATTGGACGGCGGCGATGGTTCTATTGATGGACTGTGGCAGCACTGCTAGAAGCAGCAACAACGATGGATGCCGTTGTGCATCGCTAGTGTGCATCGCAATAGTAGCGCAACATAGCAGTAGGCTTTAATTAAGGGTAATTTTGGTAGATTACTTCTTTTTAGTCCTATTTTTGTTAAATAAAACATAGCAGTTCCGTTTTTTCAATTCTACCTAGTTTTAGTCCTATTTAGGTAAATCTCTCATTATTTATTTGGAATTATATATAATTGGGATTAATATCAGAAAATCTTTAGTAAATGCATGGAGTACATTAACATGCTCCTTAAGAAGCATGCTCACTATGTAAATGCATCTCATTCATTCATCTCTTATCGATAAAATTCACCATTGTGTCATCAATGCATCTATGCATGCACCTCACCAACATGCTCCTTATGGAGCACTTAAAATGCTACATAAGTTTACTCTTAATCTAATATGATAAAAAGAGCTCGTCATAATTAACGATTTGTATTTATGAGTAGTGCATACTCCCTATGTGTTCGCCAAATTAACTTTTCTTGATCAATGACATTCAAATTCGACCATTGATATTTTTTAATACGAAAATATTTGGAATATGAAAATTATATCTAAATGTTCCTTATTCAAAATATTTTCATAAAAGTATAAAATTATAAATTATATATAAATATAAATATAATAATTAAAATCATTGTCCAAAGTTTGTCATCATTGACCAAGAAAAGTCAATATGGCAAACCTTTTCGGGACGGAGGTAGTATTATTTATTCAACAACCTAATTAAAGGTCTATCACCACCTAGGAATGGATTGGGATGGGATCGGGCCGGGCTTTAGGACGGGATTGGGTGGGCTTCGGGCTTAAGGATTTCAGGCCCGGTACTGGTCCGGCCCGGCCCAAACAGTATCGGGTTGGACCGGGCTTCAGGACGGAACTGGGCATTCAATTAAACAAACAGTGCAGCCGGATCCGACCTAGCCCGGGTCGGGCCCAAAAAATTGAGCCCGAAGCCCGCCCCTTATAGCCATTGGTCGGATCTCCGGGCCAAGCCGGGACTATACTACAGTACCGCGCCCGGGTCGGGCCTAAACAGTATCGCGTCCGGGTCGGGGCCGACCCGTCCGAGTCTATCCCTATCAACACCCACCCATTGAGGATTTTTGGAATCAGCAACACCGACACATGGTTGATAACTTGATATACTTATGCATATGTAATTGTAAATAATACTCGTATACAAGTTTAATAACTTTTTGTACTCAACACTTTAGATGACTTTATGGTATCAACACAACCATTGCGCTAAATTGCTTCGATCAGTGGAGGTTATTGAAACCAAACCCTAAACCCTAAATCAAACCGGCCAACCATTTAAATGGTCCTATATCGGAATTGGGACCGGTTTGGCCGGGAATGGTATAATTATGATTGTGTATTTCATGATACCAGTTGGTTGTCTCTAACAACTACGGTCTACGGAGTATTTTTTAAATGACTAGGATCTCAAATGATTAGGCTGTCCGCAATCCCAACGTTGAAAAACCTAATTTGAGGTTTCACCCTCAAATTTCCAGAAATCCATGTATTTATGAGTGCCAAAGTGACTACATGGCATCCATTGCGGTGGATTTTGATGCTTATTCACAGAGAGGAAATGAAGCCGCAACATGCGGTCATGTGGCCATGTTATTTATTTCACAAGTGTGGGTCCTATAATATTATTACAAATCCCAAATTTCTTTACAGTATTTTAACTTTTTTATTTATACTCTCATTTTTATAAAATTTATATCAAAATTCATAATTTTTATGATCTATTATCATATGAAATCAATAGAGTTTCTACAAAAATATGAAATTCATCTGGTAAAATTTTTGTTAAGTACATCAAAGTGCTAAAATAAAGATCTTATTGTTAAATACTTATTTATATCTTTAAGTTTTTTTTTCAAAAACAGGTCTAAATAAACGACAATAAAATTAAACTCTAAATTAATTTATTTTTACATCATAATGTTTGACTTTTAAAGTCATAATTTTCACACAAAAAAAATACTCCCTCCGTCTCATAATTAACTTCGGTTTTGACTGAGCACGTGGATTAAGATAGTGGGATTTGTGTGGTGGAGAGTTGTGCAGATGAGAGAGAAATGTGTAAGAATGATAGTGAACCACATATTCTTTATCAAAAAAAGAAAGAGGAGATAAATTTGGGACGGACCGAAAATGAAAGAATGAAGATAATTTCGGGACGGAGGGAGTATTTGGCAAAAAAATGATTGTAATAATGAAATCAAGGCTTTGAGTAAGAAAAATCTTGCTGGGAGAATATATTGACAAACAGTACTGGATTGCAGTAAAAATTAAATTGACAAAATAAATACGTATAAAATGGTGATAAATTTAATTTATCGACGAAACTCATTTTTTATTAGCCTTAGGCCAGCCTTGTGCTTTTGGTACTTGAATCTAGAATAAAAAGTCATGCCAGTCCCATCATCATTAGAATTATTGATCAAACCTGAGAAAAACTTGAATCAAGATTTGCTGATGCATCCATCACGGATGTTCTACCTCAACAACAGCCTAGCTACCACGCTAAGGAACGCACGTCCGTCACCGACAGTGGAGAACCTAGGGGTCCTAGGGAGGCAAATGCCCGGCTTCCGACTCTTAAATTTAGTATTAGTACATCTGATATAATCGGTGTCCGCTTCTTAATACTCCATCCGTCCCAATTTGGTTTGCAAAATTTCTTATTTTGGTTGTCCCAAAATGGTTTTCCACTTTCTATTTTAGGTATGTAAATAAGAATAAAGTGACAAATTTACCCTTACTTTTACTTTTTCCTCATTAACTTAAAGGCATCTACATTTAGAAAAATGGGCAAAAGTGTAAAAAGCAAACATCATTTATTGTCATTCCTTAATCTTTGTGTCAGTCAAAGTTTGCAATTCAATTCGGGACGGAGGGAGTATAAAACTATGACTATTAGATACTCCTCCAGTCCCACAATAATTGTCCCATTTTTCTTTTTCTGTCCGTCCCACTAATTTTGTCTCATACTATATTTGGTAATATTTGTGTGACCCTAATTCAATCTTACTTTATTCTTACTTTTTAATTCATTATCAACCACAAAGTCCCAATTTTATTAAAAACTACACCACCCCTTCTGTCCCAATATTAGGAGGACAGATGTAGTATTTAATAATTTTGAAATGAGTATGATGGGAGAACTGAGCTACTTCCTAGTGAACCATGAGTTTACTAAGGGAAAGGTTGACAAAACTCTATTTCGAATCTCTGTTGCTAATCATATTCTGTCAGTACAAATATATGTTGATGATATTATATTTGGAAGTACTAATGCAGAATTATGCAAGAAATTTTTCTCAAGTTATGCAGAGTCAATTTGAAATGAGTATGATGGGAGAACTGAGCTACTTCCTAGGACTACAAGTGAAGCAAGTTCCAGAAGGAATCTTTATCAACCAAGAGAAGTACACCAGAGACCTGATCAAGAAGTTTGGAGTTGAAGGAAAATCATCAGTAAAGATACCCATGAACACCTCTCAAAGAATTGGACCAGATGATGAAAGAAAAAATGTTGATGCAACAACATATAGAGGAATCATTGGATCTCTTCTCTATCTAACTGCAAGCAGACCAGATATATCATTCTGTGTTGGAATCTGTGTCAGATACCAATCAAAGCCCAAGGAGAGCCATCTAAGTGCTGCAAAAAGAATCATCAGATACATCAAACGGAATCCAAATGCAGGCCTATGGTATCCCAAGGGAGGTAACTTTGAACTAATTGGTTACTCTGATTCAGATTTTGCAGGTTAGACAGGAAGAGCACCTATGGTCACTGCCAATTGCTAGGTGCGAGACTTGTCTCCTGGTTTAGCAAGAAGCAGAACTCTATCTCAACAAGCACAGCTGAGACTGAATACATTGCAGCTGGGAGTTGCTGTGCTCAGCTACTCCGGATGAAGCAACAACTGAAGGATTATGGCATTCTTGCGAAGGAGATCAAGCTTCTCTGTGACAACACCGGTGCCATTGCAATCACACAGAATCCAGTCCTTCACTCCAGGACCAAGCACATTGAGATCAGACATCACTTCATCAGAGATCATGCAGAAAAGAAGCACATATGCATGGAGCATGTGTCAACTGAGGACCAACTTGCAGATATTCTAACTAAGCCTTTGCGTGAGGCAAGGTTTAACAAGCTGAGAGAAGAACTGAGAATGATGGATGAAATCCCCAGAGATGGTTGAAAGATAAACTCTCTATTGCAAAATCTCTGTTACAGAATCCCAAGTTGCAGAACCCCTTCTGTTCTTCAATTCGAACAGAGAACCTCCGTTCCTACTAGAACCCCTTAGCAACAGAAATCCTCTTTATAACTCACAGAAGGTTGTGGACTTAGCAAAATTTGTGTAAATGGGTGACCCAGACACTAATTAAAGGTCTTTTACCCTTTTACCCTTAAACGTTTTTATAGCTGCAAGACATTTACTGCGCCCCTTTTTCATTTATTGGTATCTCGAAACCGCCAATAAACTCAAACGTCCACTAACCCAAAACCATACATTCCCCTCTTTTCAACCTAAACCGCTACTGCCCTCATTATTCTCAAATCTTCGAACTTCCATATCTCTCAAGCTCTCAAGATCTCAAATCTCCCTGCAATGGCTTTCATCAACGTCAACGACCTAACTACTGAGGAAATCGACCTCCTGGTCAACAATATCTACACAGGGATGAATCGCGGCTTGTTCGCACTCCCGAAACTAGCAGCTAACCAAGAGACAATGAGGAAGATTGTTCAGGGAATGGAGGATTCCCAGCTTAACAAGGTAGTAGGATACCAGTTCAACTCCTACAACACGAAGGATGTGGCTGAGTTCTATCTCAATGCCACATATGAAGGAGAGACCATCCGGTCTCATGTCAACGGAGATGACATCACCCTCACCCCGGAGACTATCAACGCCCTCTTTGGCGTAGTGGAGGACCCCCAAGAGGAAGATACTCAGGGATTCATCACTCTGGACGACGTCCACGTCACTATTGAAGTTTTCGTACAACAATACTGCAGACCAGAAGTTGGAAATGTACCAAAACTGAACATGAAAAAGAACCTGCTGCAGAGTGACTATGAAAAATTGGTAAACGTCTTCCACATGTGCGTCTGGAGCAAGAGCACCTCCACTGACGATATGACGGTTCTGAATGCAAAAGCTATTTTTGGTGTTCATCATGGGATGAACATCAACTGGGGACAGTTCATTGT